AGCTGTAGGTGGAGCATAGACCAGAGCTGTAGGTGGAGCATAGCTGTAGGTGGAGCATAGACCAGAGCTGTAGGTGGAGCATAGACCAGAGCTGTAGGTGGAGCATAGACCAGAGCTGTAGGTGGAGCATAGACCAGAGCTGTAGGTGGAGCATAGACAAGAGCTGTAGGTGGAGCATAGCTGTAGGTGGAGCATAGACCAGAGCTGTAGGTGGAGCATAGACCAGAGCTGTAGGTGGAGCAAAGAGCAGAGCTGTAGGTGGAGCATAGACCAGAGCTGTAGGTGGAGCACAGCTGTAGGTGGAGCATAGACCAGAGCTGTAGGTGGAGCATAGACCAGAGTTGTAGGTGGAGCATAGACCAGAGTTGTATGTGGAGCAGAGCTGTAAGTGGAGCATAGACCAGAGCTGTAGGTGGAGCATAGACCAGAGTTGTATGTGGAGCAGAGCTGTAGGTGGAGCATAGACCAGAGCTGTAGGTGGAGCATAGACCAGAGCTGTAGGTGGAGCATAGCTGTAGGTGGAGCATAGACCAGAGTTGTAGGTGAAGCATAGACCAGAGCTGTAGGTGGAGCATAGACCAGAGCTGTAGGTGGAGCACAGCTGTAGGTGGAGCATAGACCAGAGCTGTAGGTGGAGCATAGACCAGAGCTGTAGGTGGAGCATAGACCAGAGCTGTAGGTGGAGCAGAGATGTAGGTGGAGCATAGACCAGAGCTGTAGGTTGAGCATAGACCAGAGCTGTAGGTGGAGCAGAGCTGTAGGTGAAGCATAGACCAGAGCTGTAGGTGGAGCATAGACCAGAGCTGTAGGTGGAGCATAGACCAGAACTGTAGGTGGAGCATAGACCCGAGCTGTAGGTGGAGCATAGACAAGAGTTGTAGGTGGAGCATAGACCAGAGTTGTAGGTGGAGCATAGACCAGAGTTGTAGGTGGAGCATAGACCAGAGCTGTAGGTGGAGCATAGACCCGAGCTGTAGGTGGAGCATAGACCAGAGCTGTAGGTGAAGCATAGACCAGAGCTGTAGGTGGAGCATAGACCAGAGCTGTAGGTGGAGCATAGACCAGAGCTGTAGGTGGAGCATAGACCAGAGCTGTAGGTGGAGCAGAGCTGTAGGTGGAGCATAGACCAGAGCTGTAGGTGGAGCAGAGCTGTAGGTGGGGCAGAGCTGTAGGTGGAGCATAGACCAGAGCTGTAGGTGGAGCAGAGCTGTAGGTGGAGCATAGACCAGAGCTGTAGGTGGAGCATAGACCAGAGCTGTAGGTGGAGCATAGACCAACTGTAGGTGGAGCAGAGCTGTAGGTGGAGCATAGACCAGAGCTGTAGGTGGAGCAGAGCTGTAGGTTTGGCAGAGCTGTAGGTGGAGCATAGACCAGAGCTGTAGGTGGAGCAGAGCTGTAGGTGGAGCATAGACCAGAGCTGTAGGTGGAGCATAGACCAGAGCTGTAGGTGGAGCATAGACCAGAGCTGTAGGTGGAGCATAGACCAGAGCTGTAGGTGGAGCATAGATCAGAGCTGTAGGTGGAGCAGAGCTGTAGGTGGAGCATAGACCAGAGCTGTAGGTGGAGCAGAGACCAGAGCTGTGGGTGGAGCAGAGCTGTAGGTGGAGCATAGACCAGAGCTGTAGGTGGAGCAGAGCTGTAGGTGGAGCATAGACCAGAGCTGTAGGTGGAGCAGAGCTGTAGGTGGAGCATAGACCAGAGCTGTAGGTGGAGCATAGACAAGAGCTGTAGGTGGAGCATAGCTGTAGGTGGAGCATAGACCAGAGCTGTAGGTGGAGCATAGACCAGAGCTGTAGGTGGAGCAAAGAGCAGAGCTGTAGGTGGAGCATAGACCAGAGCTGTAGGTGGAGCACAGCTGTAGGTGGAGCATAGACCAGAGCTGTAGGTGGAGCATAGACCAGAGTTGTAGGTGGAGCATAGACCAGAGTTGTATGTGGAGCAGAGCTGTAAGTGGAGCATAGACCAGAGCTGTAGGTGGAGCATAGACCAGAGTTGTATGTGGAGCAGAGCTGTAGGTGGAGCATAGACCAGAGCTGTAGGTGGAGCATAGACCAGAGCTGTAGGTGGAGCATAGCTGTAGGTGGAGCATAGACCAGAGTTGTAGGTGAAGCATAGACCAGAGCTGTAGGTGGAGCATAGACCAGAGCTGTAGGTGGAGCACAGCTGTAGGTGGAGCATAGACCAGAGCTGTAGGTGGAGCATAGACCAGAGCTGTAGGTGGAGCATAGACCAGAGCTGTAGGTGGAGCAGAGCTGTAGGTGGAGCATAGACCAGAGCTGTAGGTTGAGCATAGACCAGAGCTGTAGGTGGAGCAGAGCTGTAGGTGAAGCATAGACCAGAGCTGTAGGTGGAGCATAGACCAGAGCTGTAGGTGGAGCATAGACCAGAACTGTAGGTGGAGCATAGACCCGAGCTGTAGGTGGAGCATAGACAAGAGTTGTAGGTGGAGCATAGACCAGAGTTGTAGGTGGAGCATAGACCAGAGTTGTAGGTGGAGCATAGACCAGAGCTGTAGGTGGAGCATAGACCCGAGCTGTAGGTGGAGCATAGACCAGAGCTGTAGGTGAAGCATAGACCAGAGCTGTAGGTGGAGCATAGACCAGAGCTGTAGGTGGAGCAGAGCTGTAGGTGGAGCATAGACCAGACTTGTAGGTGGAGCATAGACCAGAGCTGTAGGTGGAGCATAGACCAGAGCTGTAGGTGGAGCATAGACCAGAGCTGTAGGTGGAGCAGAGCTGTAGGTGGAGCATAGACCAGAGCTGTAGGTGGAGCAGAGCTGTAGGTGGGGCAGAGCTGTAGGTGGAGCATAGACCAGAGCTGTAGGTGGAGCAGAGCTGTAGGTGGAGCATAGACCAGAGCTGTAGGTGGAGCATAGACCAGAGCTGTAGGTGGAGCATAGACCAACTGTAGGTGGAGCAGAGCTGTAGGTGGAGCATAGACCAGAGCTGTAGGTGGAGCAGAGCTGTAGGTGGGGCAGAGCTGTAGGTGGAGCATAGACCAGAGCTGTAGGTGGAGCAGAGCTGTAGGTGGAGCATAGACCAGAGCTGTAGGTGGAGCATAGACCAGAGCTGTAGGTGGAGCATAGACCAGAGCTGTAGGTGGAGCATAGACCAGAGCTGTAGGTGGAGCATAGATCAGAGCTGTAGGTGGAGCAGAGCTGTAGGTGGAGCATAGACCAGAGCTGTAGGTGGAGCAGAGACCAGAGCTGTGGGTGGAGCAGAGCTGTAGGTGGAGCATAGACCAGAGCTGTAGGTGGAGCAGAGCTGTAGGTGGAGCATAGACCAGAGCTGTAGGTGGAGCAGAGCTGTAGGTGGAGCATAGACCAGAGCTGTAGGTGGAGCATAGACAAGAGCTGTAGGTGGAGCAGAGCTGTAGGTGGAGCATAGACCAGAGCTGTAGGTGGAGCATAGACCAGAGCTGTAGGTGGAGCAGAGCTGTAGGTGGAGCATAGACCAGAGCTGTAGGTGGAGCATAGACCAGAGCTGTAGGTGGAGCATAGACCAGAGCTGTAGATGGAGCATAGACCAGAGCTGTAGGTGGAGCATAGACCAGAACTGTAGGTGGAGTAGAGCTGTAGGTGGAGCATAGACCAGAGCTGTAGGTGGAGCATAGACCAGAGCTGTAGGTGGAGTATAGACCAGAGCTGTAGGTGGAGCATAGACCAGAGCTGTAGGTGGAGCAGAGCTGTAGGTGGAGCATAGACCAGAGCTGTAGGTGGAGCAGAGCTGTAGGTGGGGCATAGACCAGAGCTGTAGGTGGAGCATAGACCAGAGCTGTAGGTGGAGCATAGACCAGAGCTGTAGGTGGTGTAGAGCTGTAGGTGGAGCATAGACCAGAGCTGTAGGTGGAGCATAGACCAGAGCTGTAGGTGGAGCATAGACAAGAGCTGTAGGTGGAGCATAGACCAGAGCTGTAGGTGGAGCATAGACCAGAGCTGTAGGTGGAGTAGAGCTGTAGGTGGAGCATAGACCAGAACTGTAGGTGGAGTAGAGCTGTAGGTGGAGCATAGACCATAGCTGTAGGTGGAGCATAGACCAGAGCTGTAGGTGGAGCATAGACCAGAACTGTAGGTGGAGTAGAGCTGTAGGTGGAGCATAGACCAGAACTGTAGGTGGAGCAGAGCTGTAGGTGAATCATAGACCAGAGCTGTAGGTGGAGCATAGACCAGAGCTGTAGGTGGAGCATAGACCAGAGCTGTAGGTGGAGCATAGACCAGAGCTGTAGGTGGAGCATAGACCAGAGCTGTAGGTGGAGCATAGACCAGAGCTGTAGGTGGAGCATAGACCAGAGCTGTAGGTGGAGCATAGACCAGAGCTGTAGGTGGAGCATAGACCAGAACTGTAGATGGAGCATAGACCAGAGCTGTAGGTGGAGCATAGACCAGAACTGTAGATGGAGCATAGACCAGAGTTGTAGGTGGGTCCCGAAGAAAGTCTGCAGCCCCCCCCCCTCCAAAAAAAAATACGGAATGGAATTAAGAAAGAAAATATGTACTTTTATCAGTGTCTGCCCCCCCCCCCCCACCGGAAAATGTGTATACCCCCCCCCCCCCCCCCCCCCCGCTGCGGAGAAAAAAAAGTCTGAAAAAAAAACACTGAATCTCTAACTGTAGACTACTAATTATTTGCGTGATCTATAGACAAGCTAACACATAGAGCTGACAACAGAATCTGCGTTGAAATTTCTTGCGATAAATGAGGAAGTCTGTCAGTTTAAAAAGGTATATAATCTATAACGTTATGATTCACAGCATTTTAGTTTCTGATCCAAATTATATTCTTGAATTCACCGAATCCGTTACTATTTTTAAAGCTAAATTATATTTTTAGTTCCGAAAACTACCTTAATCGCTGTAACACAATAGATCTATTTCTTTTAATTATTTATTCTGCATGTAGACCTATAAGGACCGCCACATTTTTTTCCACTTATAATTATTGCGTCATCAATTTTTAGCCACTTTCGACGTCACAATTTTCGGGGCAACATAGATCTATTTCTGCGTTATCTGTTATAGAAACTTGTCTGCATTTCATAATGGTTGAAATGTAAGTAAAACTTATACCATATTTTAGATGTATGTAATGCTAATATTTTATATTCTTTTAGTCTTGCAACAAAAGTAGCGGGGAGACATGAACTAGTCTAGACACATTGATTAGACTTAATGATGAATCCTCTTTACTTCTTGTGGAGCAAAGGGCCTCAACCATAACTTTCCGGCTTCCATTTTGTCCGGTCCCCGGTTGTTGATTTTACAATCTCCCAAGACATCCCTGCTGTCTTCAGTTCTTCAAGAAGACTCCAGGTCTGTCTTGGGCGCCCGTTATATCGCCTTCCACCAGGGTTCCTATAAAAAGTCGTACGTGTCACATTAACTAGATATATTAATTAGATTTCATTCTAATTAGACATGGATTAAATAATCTGGATTAAAGTGGATTTTGTGTTTGCTGGCAGGGCATTTATCCTAGATCTAGATTCTAGATCTCTACTAACTGACGTGTTTTCCTGCTGCTATTGTATGGGTGAGGGATAGGCTAGGTTCAGTGCTGGGGTCAATATGAAGATAGGAATTGAGTTGGGGTTAAGGTCAGGACTAAGGTTTAAAGGCCAAGTCAATGATTTCACAGTTAGGCTGGTGTTTGTAAGGTTCCAGCTAAGGCATGACAGAGCGGTTCTAGAGTCTTGAGGATATGTTTATCGTCAATTTTTATTCTAATCGTGCAAAAATCGAAATCGAGATTTTCACAAATCTCGACGTTTTACATATCCCTGAGTCGGAACAACATAGTTTCGCAATTTTGTCCTTATCTCTCTCTCTCTCTCTCTCTCTCTCTCTCTCTCTCTCTCTCTCTCTCTCTCTCTGTCTGTCTGTGTGGATGTGTGGATGTGTGAATGTGAGTGTGGCGATAACTTGAGTACCGTTACATCTAGGTTGATGAAATTTCACATACGATTATTATATCAAATTTGTAGTTCTGTATCAACTTTTCACCCATTTTCGGTAACCGGAAGTGGAACTTACTCCACTATTGGTTTTTCAAATGCCTATAACTTGAGTACTGTTTCAGATAGACGATAGTTTACATATAGGTGAAATATCTAATACCCTGTTTTATTTCAAATTTTGAATAATTTCCGGTGACCGGAAGTAGTACTTTATATACCATTTCCGATTACTCTGCAGTTCAGTTGGTGCGCAATTATTTTTTTCCTACGAGATTCTATTCTATTTTAAAAAGTTTAAGTGTGTAAATACTGATTAAACATCATGTCTATATCCCTAGTTGCCATCTCCCGTAGTGTTATATAAGAACATTCGAGAAAGTTTAGGTGAGATCACTCCCGCTATATTGTAACACAATAACGCTTTCTTTGGAGGTAATAAATGAATAATTAAAGTAATAAATAAAGAAATACATACCAATATTTCAGTGTTTTTCCTGCCAAAGTTAGAGGTATTAACAGCAGTGTTTGTATTGGGGTAAGAACCTCTGTAGTCTATGCACTGCACGATTCTTGTGTTAATTATTCAGTAGGAGTAGAATGTATCAGCTAAGTCAAGACTTTAATATAGCGAGTCTACACTATTTCGAGAAAATATTTTTGTTAGGATTAAGGGTTAGGACGCGGGTTAGGGGGGAATAATAATTCCTGAGTGAATCAGCCAATGGATTCTTCGAATCGGCCGAATTGTGCGACTGACTTATCTTTAAAAAATATCTCTATCGATTACCCATATCCACACATTCGTATAGGTAGCGCTGTCTCGCCTATAACGATCCTACTTTGATTTTTTTCACCGCCCATCCTGACTTTTGATATATAATTGTGTAACAAGTTAATCAAATTATACCGAGCTTTCATGGGTTAGTTCCAGACTCAAAGTATAGAGTTAGTATCACGGATAACTGTACCAGATATCTACCCAAAAATAATAACCCTACCCTAATCATAGAAGGTTGACTAGAGGTTATAGTATCTGTAATTTAAATAACACGATATCAGATTTCTAAATCAGAAATTTGATCGTTCGAACTTAGGACAGTTTTCTTTTAAACCGAGTAGTCTATATGAAAGGCTTACCTGCATATTCAAATAGAAATATTTTTAACAACGATAATCGTTTCACACATCATATTCCTAGCCTTACACGAATTACGATAACTTAGAATATCAGGGTACGGCTAATCGATTAGAACGAGAATCGACCTCTTAACGTGTTATACATGTTTTAATAAAGGGCTCAGTTGATGCATCTTTAATGCATCCACTACTTGCATGGTTAATTGCATTGTGAATACAATGTTAAATTCTAATGTTAATAAGAAATATTAATGACGTCAACATCGGCACTCTAATATTTTCAAAATGACAGATTCCATCTTTGAAAATACTAATCCTAGTCAAAAATTCCCATCCATTACATTCTCATAGTTAGCAATTTCCATAGTTAACTTTCCCCATCTGTAACAATTCCCATCCTTAACAATTCCCACCCGTTACAATTTCCATCGTTAACATCCCCACAGCTTACAATTTCCATCTGTAACAATTCCCCTAGTCACATAGACCCGATCGGCCTCCCCTAACGCCTACATATCACAAATATTTAATTCTTTAAAGTCCTCTAGCTCGCCCGCCAACACCCTTAAATTACTTGCTAATATGCGATCATGTATGTAAACATGTGTCATCATTTCTGGAAGCTGCCAGACAAGGAATAAATGCATAAAGTTAACAGAATCGACGCGAGCAGTGTTATGGGCAGACAATTATTGCGGCTGGCACCGGCATGTCTCTAGAGACAGCCGAAGCTCACACCTGAGGAAATCTCGATCAGCGGGGCTCGCGGCGTTGATAGCGGCGGTTTAGGCTGGGGAAGCCGGTCAAAGCGGGACGTGTTGTTCCAAGTTGCTTCCCCTGATGGCCGTGTTATTTTAACTTGCTTCCCTTGATGGCTGTCTTAGCTGTTTCCTTTAATGCTCGCGAGATTCTTAGTTGCTTTCCTATATGCCCGTGTTATTATTAGCCGTTTCCCTTGATGTCCGTGTTATTATTAGCTGATTCCCCAAATGCTCGTGTTATTATTAGCGACATCTATTGATGGTCTTGTTATTTTAGTTGCTTCACTTCATTACCTAGTTATTCTTAGCTGCTTCCCTTATGATCATGTTATTCTTAGCTGCTTATATAATGGGCATGTTATTCTGAGTTGCTTCCCCTGATGGACATTCTTAGTTCCTTCCCTTGATGGACATTCTTTGTTGCTTCCCTTAATGCTCGTGTTATTCTTAGTAGTTTCCCTTGATGCTCTTGTTACCATTCGCATTTCCGATTTTTCTGATCGTGATACTTTTTGCTGCTTCTCACAATTTCCATCTTATTCCTCACGTTTCTAGTATCTTCCTTTATATTTACCAGAATCTTCCTTTATTTATCCTAGCAATCTTCCACCACCTCCCCCTACTTGATCGTGTTATTCTCCTCTGCTCCACTGGTGATCTCAAATTTCACCTCTTTTACCCTATTACACTGGTGTTACTTTCCTTTTTTTTCTTGCCCTTGAGATTGTGTTGCTGTTGGTTATATTTCTCCATGTGCCTGTCGGCCTGGGTGTTGGCCTCCCCCCCCCCCCCCCCCCAAAGTGAAGACGCTACCCTCAGCTTTTCTTCCTTCTTGGTTGCAAATTCCCACATTATTCCATTAGGTTATTGCTGGAGGCAGTAGACAGACACACTGACCGATGACAAAAGTAAATTTATGCCCCCCCACAAAAAAACGAAGTTGATTCGATTGGTGACACACTGGGGGCGGGACAGACACGTTTGGGGCTGGGGTTGAAAAGTAGACCTTAAAACCTGTGTCCTTTAAAGCCACAAATTGTATGTTTTCTTTATGCTCCCCCCCCCCCCCACTGTGTTTTTTTTACGTCTACCCCCTCCACCTAATGTATGTTGTCTTAAGCCTCATCTAGTATATGCTTTATTTACGTCCCACCCAGTGTATATTTTCTTAAACTCCACCCATTGCATATTTTCTTAAGCTCCACCCAATGCATTTTTTCTTAAGCTCCACCTAATGTATATTTTCTTACTCCCACCCACACTGTATGTTTTTTAAGCCCCATCTACTATATGTTTTCTTTAGTTTAAGCCCCCACCCGCTCTATGTTTTCTTAAGCCCCACCAACTATTAAAAAAAAATAAGCCACACCCAGTGAAGTTATCCTTTATTTTAAGCCCCCACCTACTGTAAGTTTTCTTTAAGCCCTGCCCACTATTTATAAGCCCCACCCACCGAGTGGTTTCTATAATCCCCGTCCAATGTCTGTTTTCTTTAAACTCCGTCCACTTGAAGTTTTTTAAAGGCTCGTTCAACCGAACTAAATTTAAACGTTAATTACAACTATAAGAAAACTTCAAAATGATTGCCTCTGGAAATAGTAGAAGATTTTAACATTTGCTTGATCGCACTTGGATAAAAAAAAAGTTAATTAAATGACAAAAAGTTGTTGTTGTAATATGAGATCAACGCCACAGTTTTCTTGATGTTTCGGTCAGTCTGTTCCTTCCAAAATTTTATTTTAGTATAGAAACTAACAATGATGATGTTTTTATGTTTCACACTACCCTCCGATTGTCTGATATTCATCGATGTCCAGCATATAAACAGTTTAGATTTTTCTGTAATGTTCCGTGATGTCAAACATCATTCTGTGGTTTTACGTTTCTCAATGATGACAATGATTTCCAAAACCTTTCAGTGGTCTTAAACTTGTTTATGCTACTACCTGATGTGCAATTTCATTCTGCGGTTTTACATTGCTCTATGTTGTTCCATGAAGATCACAGTATGTCTGTGGTTTTACATTGCTCTATGTTGTTCCATGTAGATCACAATCTTTCTGTCGTCTCAACGTTAATACCGTTCTGGTGCTCCACAATGTCCAAAATCCTGAGAAAGTTTAGTCTAGAAAATATATCTGAATAGAATATTGGGCTTTACACATCACCGTGTGGAGCTGTGTGGGCTGGCAAACGGGGCTTTAACTCCCCACAATGTTGGGCTGTGTGGGGTTATGTGGTGATGTGTGGGGCTGTGTGGGGCTGACAATACGGAGTTTTAACTCAACACAATGTGGGGTTGTGTGGGACTGTGTGGCGCTGTGTGGGACTGTGTGGGGCTGACAATACGGGGCTTTAACTCAACACAATGTGGGGTTGTGTGGGACTGTGTGGCGCTGTGTGGGACTGTGTGGGGCTGACAACACGGGGCTTTAACTCAACACAATGTGGGGTTGTGTGGGACTGTGTGGCGCTGTGTGGGACTGTGTGGGGCTGACAACACGGAGTTTTAACTCCCCACAATGTGGGTCTGTGTGGGGCTGACAACACGGAGTTTTAACTCCCCACAATGTGGGACTGTGTGGGGCTTTAACCCACCACAATGTGGGGCTGACAGCACGGGGTTTCACCCAAACGCCCTGGATGTCACGTGATTTATGACGAGTTAACGCCGCGCCAAAGGGGAGAAACGTTTTACTCAATAACCTCTCTACGGTAAGATTAAATGAGATTTTCCCTACTTCCGGAGTGTCACGTGATTTATGACGTGGCAACACCGTGGCACGGGGACAGTGTCTCACCCAATGCTTGCCCCCCTCCCTCCCCCCATCCCCTTTCAGTGTATTGATTTTCAAATTTGAAAGAAAAAGTCTTGAATCTGAAATTTAATCTAAACGTTTAGTTTTAAAACCTGAAATAAATGGCGGTTTGTTCTTTTTTAAACTTTGGCGAATGGATTTAGTCACTAAATACAAGTTTAGGGTACACAATTTATTACAATGGCTTTTATTAATATTAGGAAGCTCTAAAGCTTTGTTTTTATAGTAAGATTCTAGATCCAGTTAAATGATTTAATTTTTATTTTACTTTGTTTTATGCTTTATTTAATTATTTTTGGATCCAGGCTCCATATTGTGCTCATGACCTTTGCTTTTAGTTGCATTGTGCATAAGACTTTAGTTTGTATTTAGATTGTGCACAAGACTTTTGTTTGTATTTAGATTGTGCATAAGACTTTGCTTTGTGTTGCTGATGGTGACTGGGAGTTTGGCCCAAGACATGCCAGACTTTGACATCGAATCGCTGATCGGCAACAAGGAGAAAACCTCCTATTTCTATTCGGCGCCCAACATAGACGTGGCCGACAAGGGCTCATGGACCATGCCACCAAAGTTCAGATGTGAGGCTTGTATAGGCGTAGGCTATCAGGTGGGTTAGGGTTCATTCTACGTTCGTATACACTAGGGTTATCAGGTGGGTTAGGGTTCATTCTAAGTTCGTATACACTAGGGTTATCAGGTGGGTTAGGGTTAATTCTAAGTTCGTATACACTAGGGTTATCAGGTGGGTTAGGGTTCATTCTAAGTTCGTATACACTAGGGTTATCAGGTGGGTTAGGGTTAATTCTAAGTTCGTATACACTAGGGTTATCAGGTGGGTTAGGGTTAACACTTCGTATACACGTGGGCTATCAGGTGGGTTAGGGTTAACTCTAAGTTCGTATACACTAGGGTTATCAGGTGGGTTAGGGTTAATTCTAAGTTCGTATACACTAGGGTTATCAGGTGGGTTAGGGTTAACACTTCGTATACACGTGGGCTATCAGGTGGGTTAGGGTTAACTCTAAGTTCGTATACACTAGGGTTATCAGGTGGGTTAGGGTTCATTCTAAGTTCGTATACACTAGGGTTATCAGGTGGGTTAGGGTTAATACTTCGTATACACTAGGGTTACCAGGTGGGTTAGGGTTAATTCTAAGTTCGTATACACTAGGGTTTTCAGGTGGGTTAGGGTTCATTCTAAGTTCGTATACACTAGGGTTATCAGGTGGGTTAGGGTTCATTCTAAGTTCGTATACACTAGGGTTATCAGGTGGGTTAGGGTTCATTCTAAGTTCGTATACACTAGGGTTTTCAGGTGGGTTAGGGTTAAATCTAAGTTCGTATACACTAGGGTTATCAGGTGGGTTAGGGTTAATTCTAAGTTCGTATACACTAGGGTTATCAGGTGGGTTAGGGTTAACTCTAAGTTCGTATACACTAGGGTTATCAGGTGGGTTAGGGTTAACTCTAAGTTCGTATACACTAGGGTTATCAGGTGGGTTAGGGTTAACTCTAAGTTCGTATACACTAGGGTTATCAGGTGGGTTAGGGTTAATACTAAGTTCGTATACACTAGGGTTATCAGGTGGGTTAGGGTTAATACTAAGTTCGTATACACTAGGGTTATCAGGTGGGTTACGGTTAACTCTAAGTTCGTATACACTAGGGTTATCAGGTGGGTTAGGGTTAATACTTCGTATACACTAGGGTTACCAGGTGGGTTAGGGTTCATTCTAAGTTCGTATACACTAGGGTTTACAGGTGGGTTAGGGTTCATTCTAAGTTCGTATACAATAGGGTTATCAGGTGGGTTAGGGTTAATACTTCGTACACACGTGGGTTATCAGGTGGGTTAGGGTTAATTCTAAGTTCATATACAATAGGGTTATCAGGTGGGTTAGGGTTCATTCTAAGTTCGTATACACGTGGGTTATCAGGTGGGTTAGGGTTAATTCTAAGTTCATATACAATAGGGTAATCAGGTGGGTTAGGGTTCATTCTAAGTTCGTATACACTAGGGTTATCAGGTGCGTTAGGGTTAATTCTAAGTTCGTATACACTAGGGTTATCAGGTGGGTTAGGGTTAATTCTAAGTTCGTATACACTAGGGTTATCAGGTGGGTTAGGGTTAATTCTAAGTTCGTATACACTAGGGTTTTCAGGTGGGTTAGGGTTCATTCTAAGTTCGTATACACTAGGGTTTTCAGGTGGGTTAGGGTTCATTCTAAATTCGTATACACTAGGGTTTTCAGGTGGGTTAGGGTTCATTCTAAGTTCGTATACACTAGGGTTTTCAGGTGGGTTAGGGTTCATTCTAAATTCGTATACACTAGGGTTTTCAGGTGGGTTAGGGTTAATTCTAAATTCGTATACACTAGGGTTATCAGGTGGGTTAGGGTTAATTCTAAGTTCGTATACACTAGGGTTATCAGGTGGGTTAGGGTTCAATCTAAGTTCGTATACACTAGGGTTATCAGGTGGGTTAGGGTTAAATCTAAGTTCGTATACACTAGGGTTATCAGGTGGGTTAGGGTTAAATCTAAGTTCGTATACACTAGGGTTTTCAGGTGGGTTAGGGTTAATTCTAAGTTCGTATACACTAGGGTTATCAGGTGGGTTAGGGTTAAATCTAAGTTCGTATACACTAGGGTTATCAGGTGGGTTAGGGTTAAATCTAAGTTCGTATACACTAGGGTTTTCAGGTGGGTTAAGGTTAATTCTAAGTTCGTATACACTAGGGTTATCAGGTGGGTTAGGGTTAAATCTAAGTTCGTATACACTAGGGTTTTCAGGTGGGTTAGGGTTAATTCTAAGTTCGTATACACTAGGGTTATCAGGTGGGTTAGGGTTAATTCTAAGTTCGTATACACTAGGGTTATCAGGTGGGTTAGGGTTAAATCTAAGTTCGTATACACTAGGGTTATCAGGTGGGTTAGGGTTCATTCTAAGTTCGTATACACTAGGGTTATCAGGTGGGTTAGGGTTAATACGTGGATCCATGTCAAATTTGTTGTCACATTGTATTGTCATCGGATCTTGAGCCACGTACCAAGTATGAAAGAAATTGGCCCGTTTAAGTGGCCCAACCATTTAGGTTATTTCAGATCGCTTCTAGGTCAGTAAGCCTATGGTAAGATGTTAGTCCTTTAAGTATAGATTTAAAGTTACTTAGGACTTGTTTACAAAATATGTTCGGAAGACTGATTGGAAATAGCTTGTCAATTTACAGTTAGACAGTTAGAACTTATTTGTTGTCAGACTTTGTAACAGTTTCACGTCGTATGAGTAGAATTATCATGTCTGTTAGAGATCGTTTCTGTGCGTTATATATATATATATATATATATATATATATATATATATATATATATATATATATATATATATATATATATATATATATATATATATATATATATATTTATATATATCTGCTTTATGTTAGTTTCAGAAACATTTTCGCTTAGAGGAGGAGAAACGATCGAAGAAAGGAGCTGATTTAGTGGAGTCTCAAATACTTGACGTCACAGACAGGCTGTGTAGCAAGGGCTTTAAGAAGTAACGTGGGGACATGTTGTTTACTGCAGTAATGTGGGGACATGTTGTTTTACTGCAGTAATGTGGGGACATGTTGTTTACTGCAGTAATGTGGGGACATGTTGTTTACTGCAGTAATGTGGGGGACTTTTTGTTTACGGCAGTAATGTGGGGACATTTTGTTTACTGCAGTAACGTGGGGACATTTTGTTTACTGCAGTAACGTGGGGACATTTTGTTTACTGCAGTAATGTGGGGACATTTTTTTTTACTGCAGTAACGTGGGGACATGTTTTTTTTACTGCAGTAATGTGGGGACGTTGTTTACTGCAGTAATGTGGGGACATTTTGTTTACTGCAGTAACGTGGGGACATTTTGTTTACTGCAGTAACGTGGGGACATTTTGTTTACTGCAGTAACGTGGGGACATTTTGTTTACTGCAGTAACGTGGGGACATTTTTTTTACTGCAGTAACGTGGGGACATGTTTTTTTTACTGAAGTAATGTGGGGACGTTGTTTACTGCAGTAATGTGGGGACATTTTGTTTACTGCAGTAACGTGGGGACATTTTGTTTACTGCAGTAATGTGGGGACATTTTGTTTACTGCAGTAACGTGGGACATGTTGTTTACTGCAGTAATGTGGGGGACATGTTGTTTACTGCAGTAATGTGGGGACATTTTGTTTACTGCAGTAATGTGGGGACATTTTGTTTACTGCAGTAATGTGAGGACATTTTGTTTACTGCAGTAATGTGAGGACATTTTGTTTACTGCAGTAATGTGGGGACATGTTATTTAGTGCAGTAACGTGTTTAATTATGTTAGCTGAAAGTGAGCACTGTTTTTACTAAGCTATCCCTGCCCAGTAATCCTATTAATGTGAGACCAGAAATAGAGTGTGTGTGCGTGTGTGTGCGGTGGGGAGTATGTGTGTGTGTGTGGGGGGGGGGGGGTGGGGGGGGGGGGTGATAGTTGCCAGGATGGTCGGGTAGCTCTAACACCTGCTAATCACGTGCAGTCTGAGGTTTGAGACTAAAAAAGGTGTAAATTGAATCATCTTAAGATGGAGACAGCCCTAAATGTATGCATCCCATTTTTGGCCGCTGGCGGAGAGCCCCAGCTATTGAAGAAATGAAAATCTAATCAATATACACATAATAAAATTGTGGGCATTTTCATTTGATTTGTAGGGAACAAATGGGAACAGTAATTAGTTTTCATCCAATTAAAATGTGCCTTTTCTTAAGACTGGGATGTTGCTTCTTCAGATACGGTGCCAAAACCTTGGACGGAAGAACTCGCTTGTCTGGAGAAGGCTTGAAGGCGTTTTACGAGTACGGAATGACAGGCATAGGACCTGGCTGGGTTCAAAGGTCACCTTTTTTTTTTAATACTCTCAGTATTTCTCGTCTTTTCTTACGCATTAAGCCACATACCCTACACACGGTGCGAACAGATAACTCATTAAGGAGACACAACTGCGTAAAACCTACACTCTACAAAAATCGTTTAAAAGTGTAACAGCAATATTTATAGCTATTAATTAGAAATTTAATGAACATTATAAAAATATTCTCCAACCGTTGAAAATTGGCAGCAATTATGCATTTTTAAAAATAAAAACATTTTAATTACTGTTTTTTTCCCTACCCCACCTGTAATTTTAATTTAAAAAATGTACTTTCAATATTTTTGCGACGCTAACTATAGAATAATTTTGATTTTTTTCTATTCTACATTCTAAGATTTTGATTTTTAGATGAAATTTAAATTCTTATAAATGTATCGTAACTGACTTTTTGCTTTATTGTTCTATTGTTAAATTGTGGTTAACCCCTGGTTGAACCCTGGTGAACTTTGACCCCCAGGATGCAGGGAATCTGCCAGGAAGTTGTGGGGTTGCTGGACGAGGTGACCATCTACGACATGTACAAGACCAGGGGCGACAGGCAGCTCTCAGAGACCATGTGTGAGACCTTCTGCACGGCCGCTGAGATGAAGGAGTACAGGCAGGACGTCAAGACCATGGACTTGGCGTCTACAGACAACAAGTTTGATGATGAGCTCTAGTTGTATTGGGGGGGGGGGGGGGGCGTTAGGACCATGGACAACAAGTTTGATGATGAGCTCTAGTTGTATTGGGTGGGGAGGGGACGTCAAGACCATGGAATTGGCGTCTACGGACAACAAGTTTGATGATGAGCTCTAGTTGTATGGGGGGGGGGGCGTTAGGACCATGGACAACAAGTTTGATGATGAACTCTAGTTGTATTGGGGGGGGGGGGGGACGTCAAGACCATGGACTTGGCGTCTACGGACAACAAGTTTGATGATGAGCTCTAGTTGTATTGGGTGGGGGGGGGGGGTTAAGACCATGGACTTGGCGTCTACGGACAACAAGTTTGATGATGAGCTCTAGTTGTATTGGGGGGGGGGGCGTTAATACTTGGCGTCTAGGGAACGTTTGATAATGAACTCTAGTTGTATGGGGGGGGGGAGTGAAGGTATAGAAGTGGTGAGGTGGTTGTTAAGACCTTGGAGTGGGTTGTATGGAGAGCTTAAAGAATATAGGGGGGGGGGGGCATTACGGCTATATACAACAAGTTTGATGAAATGTAGATGTAGCTATGTGTCATTATGTCAATGTTTGACCCCTCATAAATGTCTGTATGGACAATTTTTACGTGTTGTCGTATTTGTGTGTTAAAGTTGTCTATTTTAGACTGCTCAGATGTAAAGGATTGTGTATGGTAGTGACATTAGGGATTCGCAAAATTCATTTGTATCTTGTATCTTAAGAAATTCAGTATTATCACCAAATGAATAATGTTTTACGAAATGTGATAATTCTCTTTAGCAATTAAATGTTTGCACTTTCATAAATACTTTTCTTATTTATATATTTAAACTAATTTTCCTCTGAATGAAAAACATTTTCATCGTTAGATTCGTTCAAGTATTTTGTGCTCAAACATTTTAAATAAAATTATTTAATATATTTTCTGTGTAGCCTGGATATTTGCCACTATATCCCAAACATAGCAACTGGAAATAGCCGGCAGGAAAACATAAAACATAGAAGCTTCTTGGTTCGAGGTATCTGATTCTCTGTCTAGACTGTCACTGGTACAATGACTCACGGGTACACATGCGTCACTGGTTCACATGAGTCACTGGTACGCATAAGTCACTGGTACAATGAGTCACAGGTACACATGAGTCACTGGTACAAAACCAATCACTAGAAGAGCCATAGGTAGACAAGAGTCACTATTGGAGTCACACAACACAAGTCTAGTCACTAGTGGAGTCACTAGCACACAATCCCGGCAGATCTAGAGTCACTGGTGGAGTCAGAGTCACAAGTAGACCTAGAGTTATTTTAAATATGAAGATCATAAAACATGATAACAGAGTACCTAAGCCTCAATATATGCCAGACGATAGATGCTAGATACCATACACGAGATGTGGCTTTATTGCAACAAAAAAAAAAACAACAAAAATACATGTGTTTTAAATAAATCTTTTAATATATTTTCATGTATAAATTTTATAATACAAATAATTATATGTGCTAAGAAACAACAGCAACCCTTTTAAGTACCAGTAGAATTTGTTGCGAGTTCAATTTCTTCACCTTTAGATGTATTCGAATGTTCACTTTTTAAAAGGTGAGACCGATCATCATTGGAGAAATTCAACTGTTCACTAATCAAAGGGTTAGGAGTCTCACTGTCTAAAAGGGTCGACGTTTCACTATTGGAAAGGTTAGACTCTTCACTAATATCTCCCTGGCTATTGCTGTGCCCGATGTAGTTGACCACATCAGAAATGACCACCGATTTGTTGGTCAGGATGGACTTCTTGCCATGCCCTTGCACGGGTGCCGATGCCTCAGACTCTGGCACCGAGCGGGTCTCCACGCTGTCCAGACTAGGAGCAGATCCTGTGGACAACAAGGATGCCTGGGAGTTTTTCCTCCCCTCCCCGGGAAATCTCTGCCTTCTCTTTTTTAAGTGATTGCTGGCCACGTAGTATTTCAAGAAGGCCTCTAAAGATCGCCTGCCCCGTTCAATCAAAAAATCGATATCATCTTGTTCGAGAACAAAGTCTGATGTGCCCACATGACCTGTATTGATACCCACCGTCCGCTTTAAATCTCGTTCCTTCAGGGGAAATAGAACACACGACATTAGGGCATGGTTACAGCCTTGACCTTGGTTACATTCGCTAAATAAACTTCACGACATTAGGGCATTGCTACAACTTTGGTTACATTCACTAAATAATATATATATATATATATATATATATATATATATATATATATATATATATATATATACTGTAATTAAAAAAAACTAATGATGTTCGTCTTGGCACATTTATTTCACAAAAAAATAGGGTTGTCTTAATCTAAATCTAAATTGAATTCTAAATCATTTAATCTTAAACTTATCATTTGACCTGATCAGGTCTAACCATTTCCATCTATCTGTGGAGTATATTTGTATGTTTTTCCTCTACCCGTTAGACCCAAACTGTTTGATGTAGGTACTAGATACAAAGGAAACTTTGACTCATCAACAACCACACAAGTGAACAAGAGATATTCATGCCTGAGGACGTCTATATGTTCTTGTGTCAGTCTGCGCCAAAGCACAGCCAAGCACCGAAATGAAACACATTAACACACTCCAAGTATCAGTCAGACAAGCGCGATTGTATCTACATCAGTAAATGAGTAATTATGTGGAAAAACAGAAAAACCACGATTTTTGATGAATACGTAGGATAGGATCGATAGTAGCTCTGTCTGAATGAGTAGTAGGAGTGCCGTTAGATGGGCATATGCCCCAGGGGTCGAGGCGAGAGGGTGGGGGTGTCACACGGGGACGAGATATTAAAGATATATGTCCTGCGGTTACAATTTGGAGATAATTCCAGAGTCCGGTGAAACTAGAGGCTGTCTAACGTATACGGTCAACAGGACAAGCTGTAGCGGTGCAAGATTTGATGGGTCGAGAGCTAGACCAGTGCAAGATTTGATGTGGTCATTAGCTAGACCAGTGCAAGATTTGATGGGTCAATAGCTAGACCAGTGCAAGATTTGATGGGTCAAGAGCTAGACCAATGCAAGATTTGATGGGTCAATAGCTAGACCAGTGCAAGATTTTTGATGTGGTCAAAAGCTAGACCAGTGCAAGATTTAATAGGTCAATAGCTAGACCAGTGCAAGATTTTTGATGTGGTCAAAAGCTAGACCAGTGCAAGATTTTTGATGTGGTCAAAAGCTAGACCAGTGCAAGATTTAATAGGTCAATAGCTAGACCAGTGCAAGATTTGATGGGTCAATAGCTAGACCAGTGCAAGATTTGATGGGTCAATAGCTAGGGTAGTGCAAGATTTGATGGGTCAATAGCTCGAGCTGTGCAAGATTTGATGGGTCAATAGCTAGACCATTGCAAGATTTGATGGGTCAATAGCTAGGGTAGTGCAAGATTTGATGGGTCAATAGCTCGAGCTGTGCAAGATTTGATGGGGTCTAAAGCAGAAGTTGTAGCCGTGCAAGATTTAATGGGGTCAACAGACCACCTTAAGACGTGATGGTGTCAAGGGCTAAAGCGTGTTTATAGGACAGTCAGTTGGAACAAATTCCCCCACATCCCATTCAAATGTGGGCAGTTAGATATCGTGAAGTCAAAGTTAAAAGAGAATTTGAGGTAGGCCATTTGAGTCAGAAACTCAACATTATTTTTTTAATTACCTGGTGTAAATAGTAAGCCTACGTATAAATCCACCTTCAGCTGAGCTAGTATAAATACTATAAACTCACATTCCTCTTACCTGAGCTAAGGTATAACCTCACCTGGGCTGAGATATAACTTAACCTGAGCTAAGGTATCACCTCACCTGAGCTGAGATATAACTTAACCCGAGCTAAGGTATCACCTCACCTGAGCTGAGATATAACTTAACCTGAGCTAAGGTATCACCTCACCTGAGCTGAGATATAACAACCTGAGCTAAGGTATCACCTCACCTGAGCTGAGGTATAACTTAACCTGATTTAAGACATAACCTCACCTGAGCTAAAGTATTAACTCACCTCCACATACACCCTCTTCACGTTTGTCAGAAGCGTTGCCTGGAGTGTATCTAAGAACGATGGCAAATTTTTGATTTGACGCCTCTGGTAACCAAGGAAACGGTTTTGCATGCTGATACCAGTGTCTTCCATAAAGTTGAGCAACTCATTGTAGCTTATCTACAGGACAACAGAACCTAATGTGGTTTATTGTTAATGATCTATACACAGGACAAAACAACCTAGTGTGGTTTATTGTTAATGATCTACACACAGAACAAAACAAATGTGGTTTATTGTTAATGATCTATACACAGGACAAAACAAATGTGATTTGATGTACCTGATACATACACAAAACAAAAATGAAAGAGAATCAATCTCACTGATAGTGATACATACACAAAACCAGAGGCGTAGCGACCCTTCCCGGCGCCCGGGGACAAACTTTTCGATTTGCACCCCCCTCGAGATTTCGATTTGCACCCCCCCCCCCCCCCCCCCCTCAAACTTTCGATTTGCACCCCCCCTCGAGATTTTGATTTGCACTCCCCTCAAACTTTCAATTTGCACCCCCCTCAACCTTTCAATTTATTTTTCCAACCCATTTTGGCGCCCCCTAAGCTCGGCGCCCGGGGACATAAGCCCCCCCCCCCCCGCCCCCCCCCCCCTCGCTACGCTACTGCACAAAACAAAAATCTAAGAGAATCAATCTCACTGATAGTGATACATACACAAAACAAAATTCAAAGAAAATCAATCTCACTGATAGTGATACATACACAAAAATAAATTCAAAGAAAATCAATCTCACTGATAGTGATACATACACAAAACAAAATTCAAAGAAAATCAATCTCACTGATAGTGATACATACACAAAAATAAATTCAAAGAAAATCAATCTCACTGATAGTGATACATACACAAAAAAAAAATTCAAAGAAAATCAATCTCACTGATAGTGATACATACACAAAAATAAATTCAAAGAAAATCAATCTCACTGATAGTGATACATACACAAAACAAAAATCTAAGAGAATCAATCTCACTGAAATATACACAAAACAAAAATGAAAGAAAATCAATTTCACTGATATAAACAGACAACATTAAAAAGAAAGAGCTGTAATTGCTATACTCTCAGCTGAACCAAACAAAACGATCAACGCATTTGGACCCTCAATAACATCTCTGTTGCTGCTTGTTTAAAGCTAGGCAAAAAATGGGCAGTTCTATACGGCGAAATCTATTTCCCCTTCGAGTAGCCCCCTGTAATTGCCCCCACCCCCCACCCCCCCACCCTCTAACAGAGTGAAGTGACAGAGTTTATATGTGATCCTCCCTAGAGCGCAACTTGCATCATGGGATACTCGTGTCCAGAATTCAGGGCTAGCTTTAAGCAACCAGCCGGGGAATCGTTCTCTCCAGTTACAGGAAAACACAGTTTTCTCTTCATACTCCATTCTCTACACACGACACTCCATTCTCTTTATACACGCTACTCCATTCTCTCTACACACGACACTCCATTCTCTCTACACACGACACTCCATTCTCTCTACACACGACACTCCATTCTCTCTACATACGACACTCCATTCTCTCGGAAAAAGAAATTCTCCCCGGAACAACTCTCTTGTAACCCCCCCCCCCCCCCCGGACAACTAAACAATGAAATTCACTCTTGTACCCCCTCCCCGGGACAAAAATTCTCTTGTAATCCCCCCCCCCCACCCCGGGACAACTAAACAAAGAAATTTTCCCAGGACAACTAAAAGAAATTCTCTTGTAACCCCCCCCCCCCCTTATAACTAAACAAAGAAATTCTCTTTTGATACCTGTCCGTCGTGGTCGCTATCCAAATAATCCAGGATGACGTCAAAGCTGACGTCACCAAACAAAATTAATCTTTTCGCGTTGGAGAAGCGTCGCTCCTGTAAGTAAAAGGAATCAATGACAGAACTAAAACAAAGGAGACGCATCAAAACTTAAACAATGAACTATGAAACTTAGCACAGTAATCGTTTTTTTAATTTCATTTCGTACATGTCTGTATTGAATCTTTCATCATATGTTAAAGTTTATGATATGGGTGAATGATACAGGCCTAATTACGTTTTAACATAAAAAACATTGTAACAAATTTAAAAAGAAAATGAACCCCCCCCCCCTTCTCAACGTCAACCTGAGTGCTCAAGATGACACCAGGGGAACTTTTTAGAACAGCCGTTCACGTAGTTCAGTTGCAATCTGCTAGTTAATAAAGCTATTTACTCCTGCAAATTACGGCCTCACTAATGTAATAAGGATAGAGAAAAGATCCGGGGTTAGTCACTAAAGTCAATTAAAGTCGGACCGGTGTAGGATGAAAAATGTTCGCTAATAAAGATTTTTTTTAAGTTTAAAAAAAAATATCACACATCTTTCCGGTGTAAATTTTAACACAAAAAAACCGTTCGAAATCTGTTTGGGTTTGAAAAAAAAACTCTTCCCGGTGTAATAAGAATTACAGAAAGGCAAAAGTCTGTCCGTTTCAAGATAAAAAGAAATCTCCAAAAGTCTCCTTAATCTTCACGGTGTGAGATAAAAAAAAGTCTCCAAAATCTGCCAGATGTAGTATATAAAAAAGTCTCCGAAATCTGTCCGGTGTAAGATTAAAAAATGTCTTCTAAATATGCCGGTGATACATAAAAAAAAAAGCAACTCCCAAATCTGCCCGGTGTAAGATAAAAAAAAAATGATCCTTACATCCTGTAACGCCTCCTTCAGCTCATTGTGGTCAATCGAATCTCCACCGCCTGCGTGGTGTCTTAGAGACTGGAAGATTGTAGACAATATGGATTATATGGATTTATGTCCAAATCTTCATGGCAGGCCACATATCTATGGGCCCAGCCACCTCAAAAACACGCGCACACATGCAAGAACACATACATAGCTCATAATTTTATATATATATATATATATATATATATATATATATATATATATATATATATATATATATATATATTCACAACGTAAAGAGTGATAGGACTGATAACTAGATAACGTTAAATTTGCTCGACTTTTCATCTGTTATCGAGATTCACTGACTGAACACAGCGACCCAGTGAATGCACGACCACCCTTTTCATTAATAATACGTTTGGTCCTTTAAATATTCATGTTATTTTCTTTATAATCATTCACATTATTGTTGTTATTTTCACAATGAATTATGCACGAACATAAAAATGTAATAAAATAAATTGAAAGCCAAATTTATTTTTTCCTAGGCTAACCAGAAATATTACATTTAGATACGAATGATAATCTGCTGGAGTTTGTTTAATCAATGTTGGACATTCTTGCATATCTGCCATCACAAGTCATTCATCGCTCGGGTCATATTTCTGATTATCCTATTTGCCGTTGTAAGAATGGGAGACAACTTATCGTATTTTGTTCATCTGTGTAAGGATGGGAAGCAACCTATCGTATTTTGCCCATCTTTGCAAAGATGGGAGACAACTTATCGTAATGTGTCTGTCTTCGTTGGAAGGCAATACAGTATTGCACTATGCGTTATGACGTATCGTTGTTAGGATTAGGATTTGACAGAACTAGGGATAAGGCTAGGGTTTGAGCAGTGAAGCTATAAACAGCACAGTGTGATGAATACAGCACAACACGTCACGTGTGCCGGTGACGTTATCAGAACTCGAGCCCGGATGTACATCCATTGGCTGTCAGCCATTCTACGAATCTGTTTCCGGTGACCCACAGCCTCGCAGACACATTCCTGTTTTTGTCGCTTGTATTAATTGAATTATTTATTCAGCTTCTGAAGGTCGTAATTTTCGAGTGTTTAGGAAATAGAATCGACGAAATTCTCGATTTCGTTGAGATTTGAGCAATCGATGTTTGGATATTTTGTTAGGGTCATATTTGGGCCATCAATGTTTGAATATTCTGTAAGGATCAGATTTGGGCCATCGATGCGTGAATATTGTGTTAGAGTCATATTTGGGCCATCGATGTTTGTTAGGGTCATATTTGGGCCATCGATGCGTGAATATTGTGTTAGAGTCATATTTGGGCCATCGATGTTTGTTAGGGTCATATTTGGGCCATCGATGCGTGAATATTGTGTTAGAGTCATATTTGGGCCATCGATGTTTGTTAGGGTCATATTTGGGCCATCGATGCGTGAATATTGTGTTAGAGTCATATTTGGGCCATCGATGCGTGAATTTTGTGTTAGAGTCATATTTGGGCCATCGATGTTTGTTAGGATCAGATTTGGGCCATCGATGTTTGTTAGGATCAGATTTGGGCCATCGATGTTTGGACATTCATGTTAGGGCCAATACCAAAAGTTTGTAAATATCTGACTTAATTATCGTGCTAAGAGAATAAATCGCATTAGTCATTTTGTATTCGTGAAATAAGTAAAAATTTTCTTCATTTATGAGTTGATAGAAATCCAACCAATTTAGGTCTTCAGGCCAAACAGTTCGACCAAATTAACCCTTTAACAGTCAGTAGCCAAATCTATCTCAAGTTTTCAAGCCAACATAGGCTAGTAAGTAATATCCTAAAGGATTGGCCAGCACAGTTTAAGCAAACACATTAAACACATGATTACATGTGTAAACAAACACATTAAACACATGATTACATGTGTAAACAAACACATTAAACACATTTAAGTGTAAACAAACACATTAAACACTTGATCTAATGAAAAGTGTAAGCAAACACATCTAAACACTTGATGTAATTACAAAAACATACCCGGAGAAATGCGTTCATGGCGTTCACTAGACGCCTGTGTTCACGATCTGTTTTTAGCTGCAATTTTTTCTTCCTAATCTTAGCCCTAAAAATCAAATTATTTTTTTTTTTAAAGCAGTAATAGAAGATTGAAACATTATAAAAATTGTGCACATATTTTGTAAAAATAAAGTAAGAAATAAACACAAATTACATTCAGATTTATCATTAACGATACTCAACACTAAAATCAAAATGTGTGTAACGACACGTAATTTCTAAATTATCGCCCCTACAGCAGCAGTTGTGCCCCTTTATGTGTGTGTATTGCTTTATGCTCCGTCTCCAGATTTATTTTTTTAAGTTAGGATTTCGGGTTTAGAAAAGGGGAGAGTAGCAACGAAGCATTACGAGTTATCCTTCCTGTAGAGATTTGAATAAGGGAGACAATACGTTTAGTGTTTAAATTTAGACGGATTGGATGTGACGGGAGAGAGAACTGTCGCTAACAAATATTTGCTCAAGTCAGATTGCAGCACAGAAAGATAATGGAAAGAAAAAAAAAGGAAAAAAAAGGAAAGTTGCAAGCGGATTGCAGTTTTTTTTACTTGATGGCTAAAATTTGATTCAATCAACGCTGCAGTGCTAGAGAATATTTGGCCATATTGGAATGTATGAGGCTATGTTTGGCCACACGGACGTGTGTAAAGCAAGTGTTTGGGCACATGGGCATGTGTAAAGCGACCATGTGTGGCCACATGGGCATGTGTAAGGCAATGGTTGGCCACATTGGCATGTGTAAAGTAATGGTTGGCCACTTAGATCTATGTAAGGTGACTATGTTTAGCCACATTTGTATGTGTAAAGCAATGTTTGGCCACATTGACATGTGTAAAGGGACCAAGTTTGACCGCACAGGCATGTGTAAAGCAACTATGTGTGGCCACATTGACATGTGTAAAGCGACTATGTTGGTCCACATGGACATGTGTAAAGGGACCAAGTTTGACCGGCATGTGTAAAGCAATAATATTTGGCCACATAGATCTATGTAAGGTGACTATGTTTGGCCACACGGGCATGCGTAAAGCAATACTGTTTGGCCATTTAGGTCTCTGTAAACGCTCTACAACTCCACACTGCATGCCTGCACACCCCACCCCCAACACATCGATAACTTAAGAAGGTCATTTAGGTGCAGGCAGCAGATTGCTCATGTCGACACTGTAAGTCTTATTGATTTTGTTCCGCATCTTTAGATTAGGCACGTTTTTAGTTGGCCGAATTAAATCCACAAATTCATGGATTATGGCACATCACGTCAACAAATAAACTTTCGAGTTTTTTGCTTGTGTGATATAGCCAGATAAAAAATGGATGGATGAAGTCTTTACGAGTTTAAAAAAAAATAATTACTAGGCGTCATTGATCAACGAATATAAATACACATTTGGTCGTATTAGATCAAAATATAAACTGATGATTTCATTGGTCAACAAAAACTTGATTTTTGGTCTTATTTAATCAAAATATAAAAGTGGATTGTCGAAATGTTGGTCAACACTTTGCAATTAATTAACTTTTGTTAGTATCTGGTAATCAAATAAAAAAATTATTTTAAATTGTTTTGGGTTTCATAAAAATCGACTGTATGAGCCATTAAATAGACTTTAAAATACTTTAATTACAGACGTAATAGAAGGTGATCAAAATAAACCACTGGTATAAAATCAGATCAAATACAGGAATCAATACTAAATATTTGTTAAAATTAAAACATCAATTGTTTTTTTAAAGTTTAATATTTCAATTGTTATCGTGATTATGCCGTACAACACAGCATGTGAGAGAGAAAGAGAGAGAGAGAGAGAGAGAGAGATGACACATCATACAGAATGAGAGTCAATACACATAACGACATAGGACCAAGCATGAGAGAGATGACACATTAAACAGCGTGAGAGAGCCACGACACACCCTATACACAACACACTTGCCACACTCTGGACCACAAGAGACGAACCCACCTAGCCAGTTTGGTGTTGGGCAGGTCCTGGAGCTGGACGCCGTGTCTTAAGTTCTCCAGCTGGTACTTGAGTAGATCCTGCTCGTTGTCGGAATACTGCAACAAGTCAGGGATGTCAGGAGGCTTTATGGGATGTCAGGAGGCTTTATGGGATGTCAGGAGGCTTTATGGGATGTCAGGAGGCTTTATGGGATGTCAGGAGGCTTTATGGGATGTCAGGAGGCTTTATGGGATGTAAGGAGGCTTTATGGGATGTCAGGAGGCTTTATGGGATGTCAGGAGGCTTTATGGGATGTCAGGAGGCTTTATGGGATGTCAGGAGGCTTTATGGGATGTCAGGAGGCTTTATGGGATGTCAGGAGGCTTTATGGGATGTAAGGACGGCGTAGAGCGTTCGACTACTAACACAAAAGTCCCGGGTTCGGACCCCAGGCTTGCATCATTGGTCGTCCCTGAGTCCACTCATCACAGATGGGTAACTGACTCACGTTTGGGAAAGCAAAGGCGGCTGGGAATAGTGCTGACCAGACTATCCCATCAAGTGTCCAGGATACAGAAACAAGTGAACTCATACTTTACCTGCCATATGGACAGTCTGTTTCTAAAGGTACTTTACTTACTAACGTATGTTGACTCCTAAACGATATATATATATATATATATATATATATATATATATATATATATATATATATATATATATATATATATATATATATATATATATATATATATATATATATATATATATATATATATATATATATGTGTGTGTGTGTGTGTGTATGTGTGTGTGTAATCACCAACTGCATGCCCAGCGTCTTCTCGTTGTAAGTCCCAAACCGCTCAGATCTCTCCAGCAGCCGAGGAACATCTTCTAAGGGCTGCAGCCTCTCCAGGAAGTTGTCCTCGGGCTCCATAGACAGCCACCAACCTGCGGCAAGCACATTGACATCAATCTTCTGGTGCCATTGGGGGTTTAATGCTAATTTTATCGCTAACATCGCGGGCGCGAGTCCATGGGTGTCTACTGGGAAGAATCGAATTTAGTTGAAAGCTTGTATTTTGGACATCCCACCACTAATAGACTAAGGCGAGGCCACGTCAGCTGGTCAAATGCTGACCATACAATCTCTTCCTCTGCTGATATTGTTTTAAAAGTGACTATTTCCTCTGCCTAAAACTTTGTTTTACAAGAGGATGTTTGAGTCTAACAGATGAAGCGACTAAATTTTCCTGAATAAGATCGGCAAACGGACATTGTAACAACACGTTTTTTTTAGGTATTGCCTCACATTAATAAATAGCCAACAATGTGAAATATCAAACCAAAACACACTAAAACAAATATCGGAAGTTATTCTACTTTAAGTGCACGTGACCATAGTTGACTTATTCTACTTTCACCCCCTCCCCTCCCCAGCCCATCCCCGCGCTTAAGACGTCAAAGCGCCACCAACTTAAAAAGAAAACAATTCCCACGAGGCAACTAAAGACATTGTTGCGCCATTTGAGAAAAAAAAATCTTGGCTAAGCTGAAAGATATTTGTAGACTTTTCTCACTGACCGAGAAATCGAACTCCAATAAATGTTATCTGATCATCTTTTAATGACGTCAATCACACAGTTGCTGATTGTTCTTTCAGCAGTAACAAACTAAGTTTTCCGGTAAGTTTACTTTAAGTTAAGTTTACTTGAGTGTTGTAAGTTTACTTGTATGTTGTGAGTTTACTTGTGTGCTGTAGGTTTCCTTGTGTGTTGTAGGTTTCCTTGTGTGTTGTAGGTTTACTTGTGTGCTGTAGGTTTACTTGTGTGTTGTAGGTTTACTTGTATGCTGTAGGTTTACTTGTGTGTTGTAGATTTACTGGTATGTTGTAGGTTTACTTGTGTGCTGTAGGTTTACTTTTGTGTTGTAGGTTTACTGCTGTTCATGGATGTGTACTCACCATCATAGCAATGTATGGGATAGTTACACAGGACTCCCCCGTCAACAAACACATCTGTGTGGCCGTATGTTCTGTGTTTGACTGCCCTAAACATCCCTAGGATGTTCACAAAAGTCAGTCTTTAACCAAATTTACCTTTGTAAACATTCAACAATATACTTGAAATGACCCTCTGTTTTTCCCATAAAATACAAAGATTATATAGGGAAATACAACTGGTCAGTTTTGACCCCTTTACGAAGTTTTCCCAGATATGCCGAGTTTTTTGTGACACCCCTAGGTGTTCTTCTACCACCTCACAAAATATCAAGGGGGGTCGTCGGAGGAAATTTTTTTTCGTAATAGAGCTCATATAAAGAGAATTTCACTCGCGGTCACTTTTTAGCCCTCGTCGAGGGCTTTGAGTGTAACCAACAGTTTTCCCTAAAGGTCAAGCCATTGACCTAAGAGTATGCAAAAAATTAGCCAGATATACTGAGTTTAAGTACCCTAAAGTCTGCGTTGAAATGACCCTCTGTTTTTCCCATAAAATACTAAGATTATATAGGGAAATACAACTGGTCAGTTTTGACCCCTTTACGAAGTTTTCCCAGATATGCCGAGTTTTTTGTGACACCCCTAGGTGTTCTTCTACCACCTCACAAAATATCAAGGGGGGTCGTCGGAGGAAAAATTTTTTCGTAATAAAGCTCATATAAAGAGAATTTCACTCGCGGTCACTTTTTAGCCCTCGTCGAGGGCTTTGAGTGTAACCGTCGGAGGAATTTTTTTTTCGTAATATAGCCCATATAAGGCGCCGGTCAGTCGAGGTCAGTTTTGACCCCCTCTCCGTAGACTTTTCGGCCAACCGTCACCGGCCCTCGTGTTCTATCGCCCCAAGGCACCATCGTGCCAAATTTGACGCGCCTGCGGCGCCGGGAAGTGCCCTATCGGGCACCCGACCACTTTGCCTTATATATATATATATATATATATATATATATATATATATATATATATGTATATGTGTGTATACGCATGCCAATTGAATTTAACGCCAGTGATGAAAAAAAAAAAACTGGAAAAGATTCTATCAACCTGGTGCCAGAAAAGTCTGGAGTTATTTTCAGCATCTGTAGACGAGTTCTGTATGTATATATATATATATATATATATATATATATATATATATATATATATATATATATATATATATATATATATATATATATATATATATATATATCAGCAGAGACAACAGGCCGCCCCCCCCTAGCGTTGATCACTTGAAGATCAGTGAGACCCACGGGCTGGGTCAGCAGACAATCGGACACTGTGAGCCACAGAGCCGAACATCGTGCCTGGCTCAACGTTGGCTCCCTGCAGACAGGTTGACAGGTGAAGTTTGGGCTTCACGTCGCCTGTGACAGGTGTAAGTGGTTGAGGGAAGTTAAGGCAGAGAAAAGGTGGTTTGTGGCAGGCAAAAGGTGGGTTTGATCGGGCGACTGACGGGCCCTACGGCTGTTGGTTTGCCGGGTGTCACTCAGCCTCGAAATGAACTGATGTGAACACATGAACTCACGTGAACACATGATCTCACGTGAACACATGAACTCACGTGAACACACAATCTCACGTGAACGCACGTGTTTAGAAGCAAGTTTTAGGGCTAGATACCTGGCTTAGATTTCAAACACAATAAAAAAAAAACTTCAATGATGGTTGGGTTAAACAAACAAGACCTACATACCCACTTTCAGAGTTTATTCAGGTAACTCGTCGGGGTGGGGTTGGGGGCAAGAAGGTGTACCCCCCCCCCCCCCCCCCGAACGACCGAACGAAATATAATTTATATATTTATATACAAGATGTATACTTTAACCAGAGTATGCCTCCCCCCAACCCCCGGAAAATTAACAAAGAAAACTACACAGTTCTTACCACCCCACTGCATATGCCAATTCCTAGCGAAATGAATATAATCAGAATTTTAATCGAAAATTGTAAACGGTATTAGATACAATTATTATGGTCGGCGTATAGTGCTAATTATGATGTTTGTAATTATGATACTTGAAATATAATTTCAAATATTTAAAATAGAGAGTAAATTGAATATTAGTTCAACTAACGTAAGTCAAGTAAATAAATTAAAATTTAAGTAAATGTAACGGTTTAATCATTGTAAACAATGTTTAAACATGGAACATCTAATGCTTCAACAAAAAAAAAATAAAATAAAGGAATTCTAAATATACTTGTCTCAAAATGTATCACGTTGAAAATAAATGTACTTGTTGCAAATTATACAGTTTATTAACAATATTTTTACTTTTGAAACCGAATAAAATTAAAAAAAAAATAGAAGTCAAATGTCTAAAAAAAGATTAAAGTACAATTCACTATGTTGTTACCTGGAATACTTATTGACATGCGCACTGCCAGCCGCACTGGCATATCCGGTGTTGTCTTAGGATGGCAGTATAGTGACGTCATCTGGTTCAGGTTTGTAACCACGACACACAGCTCACGATTAAAAGTCTGGTAAACCTGGCAATATACCAGAAAAATACATGTATTTGGTACAACTGGCAATATACCAGCACAATACATTTACTTGGTACAACTGGCAATATACCGGCACGATACAATTATTTGGTACATATCTGTGCAATGACATCGACTTCTGTGACTATCTGTACAATAACTTTGACTTCTCTGACTATCTGTACAATAACATTGACTTTACTATCTGTAGAATGACATTGACTTCTCTGACTATCTGTAGAATGACATTGACTTTACTATCTGTACAATGACATTGACTTCTCTGACTATCTGTACAATGACATTGACTTTACTATCTGTATAATGACATTGACTTCTCTGACTATCTGTAGAATGACATTGACTTTACTATCTGTACAATAACATTGACTTCTCTGACTATCTGTACAATGACATTGACTTCTCTGACTATCTATACAATGACATTGACTTTACTATCTGTACAATAACATTGACTTGACTATTTGTACAATGACATTGACTTCTCTTACTATCTGTACAATAACATTGACTCCTCTGACTATCTGTACAATGACATTGACTTCTCTAACTATCTGTACAATGACATTGACTTTACTATCTGTACAATGACATTGACTTTACTCTCTGTACAATGACATTGACTTCTCTTACTATCTGTACAATGACATTGACTTTACTATCTGTACAATGACATTGACTTCTCTGACTATCTGTAGAATGACATTGACTTCTCTGAATATCTGTACAATAACATTGCCTCTCTGACTATCTGTACAATGACATTGACTTCTCTTACTATCTGTACAATGACATTGACTTTACTATCTGTACAATGACATTGACTTCTCTGACTATCTGTAGAATGACATTGACTTCTCTGAATATCTGTACAATAACATTGCCTCTCTGACTATCTGTACAATGGCATTGACTTCTCTGACTATCTGTACAATGACATTGACTTTACTATCTGTATAATGACATTGACTTTACTATCTGTACAATGACATTGACTTTACTATCTGTATAATGACATTGACTTCCCTAACTGTCTTTAGAATGACATTGACTTTACTATCTGTACAATGACATTGACTTTACTATCTGTACAATGACATTGACTTTACTATCTGTATAATGACATTGACTTCTCTGACTATCTGTAGAATGACATTGACTTTACTATCTGTACAATAACATTGACTTTACTATCTGTACACTGACATTGACTTTACTATATGTACAATAACATTGACTTCTCTGACTATCTGTACAATGACATTGACTTTAATATCTGTACAATGACATTGACTACCCTGACTACCTGTACAATGACATTGACTTCCCTGACTATCTGTACACTGACATTAACCTCTGACCTGTTTAAACGTCGAGTCTGGGTTTCCTGTCTGTGCTGCTATCTTTTCTCCCATCCACTCGTAGATCTTTTTGCCTGGATTCCAGCCGTAGTAGCGGAGCAGGTTGGGGATGAGGCTGAGGTAGCCACACTTGTGGTCTGTGGAACATAGCAGGACAAGTAGGTAGATGGTGCTGGTGCTAGTGATGGTGCTGGTGCTAGTGATGGTGTGAGGGTGTGCCTTGGTAGATAGCTAGTATTGGGGGTACTTTGGTAGTCAGTTAGTGATGGGTGTACTTTGGTGGTGTGGGCGTGTTGTGTGGTGTAGTAGTGTGGGTGTGTTGTGTGGGTGTGCTGTGTTGGTGTGTTGTGTGGTGTTGTCAGTGTTGTAGTGTGGGGGTGTTGTGTGGTGTAGTAGTGTGGGCGTGTTGTGTGGTGTAGTAGTGTGGGTGTGTTGTGTGGTGTAGTGGTGTGGGCGTGTTGTGTTGGTGTGTTGTGTGGTGTAGTAGTGTGGGTGTGTTGTGTGGTGTAGTGGTGTGGGCGTGTTGTGTTGGTGTGTTGTGTGGTGTAGTAGTGTGGGGGTGTTTTGGTATAGTAATGTGGACGTGTTGTCTGGTGGGGTAGTGTGCAAGTGGTAAGTGTATAATGATGTAGATAATGTGATTGCATTTAACAGCATGGTGCCAGTAATTGTCCGGATTGTCAACCTCCCAATGCCTGTTCTAACGCTTTTATTGAGCTCTAATTTGTCGCTTCTCTAGAGTGTTCCGTTGTTATTTCAGGCTGTGTTTTTGTTTTGTCACAATTGGATGTTTGATGACAAGAAGGCTTTACTTTAATCTGCTGTGTGTGTGTGTGTGTGAGTGTGTGGAAAGAGAAAAAAAAGGGGGGGTCGTTTAGCGGGGATTTAATTTGCGCATGCATATCAATGGAGAGTTTTTAGCGTCGTTGAATTACATTAGCAAAATAAGCTTTAAAATGTGTTACGAAACAAAGTAAAAATCTAGGTACAAAAATCTTATTTGAAAAGAGAATATTTTAAAGAGGTTATGCGCAACGAGTGTAGTGCTGAGGTTTATGTGATGTGTTGTGTGTTAAGATGTGTTTTGTGTAGGTGTTCAAGTTAATCTAATGTGTTGTGTGCTAAACCGTGTGTTGTGTCGTGTGCTGTTATTTATCAGATGTGTTATCTTTGAATAATTTTCTTTGAAAAAACAATACGCGGCTTCTCTGCATAATCTAGTATTCACAAGGTCAAGGATATCATGTCTAGAACTATCGGACAATGTTCACAAGGTCAAGGATATCATGTCTAGATCTATTGGACAATGTTCACAAGGTCAAGGATATCATGTCTAGATCTATTGGACAATGTTCACAAGGTCAAGGATATCATGTCTAGATCTATTGGACAATGTTCATAAGGTCAAGGATATCATGTCTAGATCTATTGGACAATGTTCACAAGGTCAAGGATAATCTATTTTGGACAATCTATTTTTCGGCTATTATTTCTGCAAAAAAAATTAACTCTATCAGTCATCTAACTCAAAATATCTGGTTGTGACCTAAAAACATCTGGTTGTGACTGACCTATAAAGATCTGATTGAGGTTGTGTCTGACCTAAAAATATCTATTTGACCTTGAGATTGACCTTAAAATTTTGTTTGAGCTTGAGTCTGACATAAAAATATCTGGTTGAGGTTGACCTAAAAATGTCTGTTTGACCTTGAGGCTGACCTAAAAATATCTGTTTGACCTTGAGACTGGCCTAAAATATCTGCGTGACCTTGAGACTGACCTAAATATCTGTTTGACCTTGAGACTGACCTAGAATATCTGTTTGAGCTTGTGACTGACCTAAATATATCTGGTTGAGGTTGAGACTGACCTAAATATATCTGGTTGAGGTTGAGACTGACCTAAAAAGATCTGGTTGAGGTTGAGACTGACCTAAATATATCTGGTTGAGGTTGTGACTGACCTAAAAAGATCTGGTTGAGGTTGAGACTGACCTAAAAAGATCTGGTTGAGCATGAGACTGACCTAAAAATATCTGTTTGAGCTTGTGACTGACCTAAATATATCTGGTTGAGGTTGAGACTGACCTAAAAATATCTGGTTGAGGTTGAGACTGACCTAGAAAGATCTGTTTGACCTTGAGACTGACCTAGAAAAATCTGGTTGAGCATGAGACTGACCTAAAAAGATCTGGTTGAGACTGACCTAGAAAGATCTGGTTGAGGTTGAGGCTGACCTAAAAATATCTGGTTGAGGTTGAGACTGACCTAGAAAGATCTGGTTGAGACTGACCTAAAAATATCTGTTTGACCTTGAGACTGACCTAGAAAGATCTGGTTGAGGTTGAGACTGACCTAGAAAGATCTGGTTGAGGTTGAGACTGAAGAACTCCTCCAGATGATGCGAGTCGTAGCCCACAGCTAGCAGCGCCGCCGTCATCGCCCCGGCACTGGTGCCAGCCAAACGTTTCACCTGGGGCCAGAGTTCCAGCTCCTCCAGCAGCTAAAGGTGAGTACAACATTCGAAAGGTGAGTGCATCATTTGAAAGGTGAGTACATCATTTGAAAGGTGAGTACATCATGTGTATGGCTCACAGGTGGGAAAATGGCATTTAAATAAATCTCATTTGAGCACAAAACAATACATCCTTGTGTGTCTAAATAGCACAGGAAGTTGTGGGATATAAAGCGCTTCAAATGTTTTTTTATTCAGTGTTTATAAACAAGATAAGATCACGTGATCAATTTACTTGTCCCCTTATATCACCCGCCATGGTCTGACAAGCTGTAAGATCTCTCATGCATGTCCCACTGACTAAAATACCTTACTCAGTATTCTTTCCGAGTTGAAGTTTCATTTGATAACCTACAGATCTCATTAACTGCCATTAGGTCCACACCTCAGTACACTTTCCTAGTAGTCTTTAGTTACATTTTACACGGTGCTAAAAATAGTCTATATACTCAACGTCTTGTGTATACAAATAAACAATTAAAAAAACTATCTGAATTCTGACAATCACCACTTTAAAATGAAAACTAGCATGCATATTCTGGGCAGTAATAGATGAGGAATTATGGTATATACGCTGGTATATATCATATGCATACATTAATTCCTACATTATGTTTATAATTATTTATACTTAAAGTAAGAATGAATATATATATATATATATATATATATATATATATATATATATATATATATAGATAGATATGTGTGCATATGCATATGCATATATATATTTAAATATTTAAATATATATATATATATATATATATATATATATATATATATATATATATATATATATATATATATTTACATATATATATATATATATATATATATATATATATATATATATATATATATATATATATATATATATATATATATATGAGTATGTGTATATAATTATGATATCTATGTATATATTAACCTACGTAATTCTGGCATTGTAAACATGCCATAGGTCTGTGTTCGAATATCACTAAAAAAACAATTTTGTCAGAAATTAACATAATAAAATTGCTGTATTTTTTCTCTGAGTGTTTACATCTCCAGTTCACGTAATAACGGAGAAATAAATTTGTTTTACGACGGGTGGCTGTTATAGCGCCACTTGACAGTTCTGATCAAGATAAAAATCATTTCTGTAACACTCTACATCCCTAAATAATATCTTTTTCTTTTTCTAAGCCTTCTCATCCCGGAATCATTTTTTAAACTTCTTATCCCTAAATCCCAAATGATGTTATCATGCCTTCATATCCCAGAACCATGTTTTATGGTATTCTGGTTCTAATACATGTTTTATCCTCAATACCACTTTGTTTATTTTTTCTCTATCCAAAACCCGTTTAAACCTAACTTATCCCGAAACCATTACCATAATATATTTGTAAGGCTAGCTTATCCCAAAATCACGCTTAAACCCTACAAATGCTATCTGATACGGTTTGAATTCTGACCTAAAACGTAGCAAGACTAGACAGACCGATCACAAAACTATTAGACTTTAGATGCAAGCAGTTGTTCTCCATAATGTGAAAAAAAATAGCTTTGAAGCTACAATAAACGCCACTCTTAAATGATTTTTATCAAATGATTTATTGATTTCGGTAAATAAACCGATAAGACTAAATATAAGTCGGTGTGCGATAGGTTTAGTGATCTCTATACTAATATACTAGGTAGTGGTAGCTACACTATACCCACCAACATAGTGGTGTCTGCACTATACCCACCAACATGGTGGTGGTGTCTGCACTATACCCACCAACATGGTGGTGTCTGCACTATACCCACCAACATGGTGGTGTCTGCACTATACCCACCAACATGGTGGTGTCTGCACTATACCCACCAACATTGTGGTGGTGTCTGCACTATACCCACCAACATGGTGGTGGTGTCTTTACTATACCCACCAACATGGTGGTGTCTACACTATACCCACCAACATGGTGGTGGTGTCTACACTATACCCACCAACATGGTGGTGTCTGCACTATACCCACCAACATGGTGGTGTCTGCACTATACCCACCAACATGGTGGTGTCTGCACTATACCCACCAACATTGTGGTGGTGTCTGCACTATACCCACCAACATGGTGGTGTCTGCACTATACCCACCAACATAGTGGTGTCTGCACTATACCCACCAACATGGTGGTGTCTGCACTATACCCACCAACATGGTGGTGGTGTCTGCACTATACCCACCAACATGGTGGTGGTGTCTGCACTATACCCACCAACATGGTGGTGGTGTCTGCACTATACCCACCAACATGGTGGTGGTGTCTGCACTATACCCACCAACATGGTGGTGGTGTCTGCACTATACCCACCAACATGGTGGTGTCTGCACCATACCCACCAACATGGTGGTGGTGTCTGCACTATACCCACCAACATGGTGGTGGTGTCTGCACTATACCCACCAACATGGTGGTGGTGTCTGCACTATACCCACCAACATAGTGGTGTCTGCACCATACCCACCAACATGGTGGTGGTGTCTGCACTATACCCACCAACATGGTGGTGGTGTCTGCACTATACCCACCAACATGGTGGTGTCTGCACTATACCCACCAACATGGTGGTGTCTGCACTATACCCACCAACATGGTGGTGTCTGCACTATACCCACCAACATGGTGGTGTCTGCACTATACCCACCAACATGGTGGTGTCTGCACTATACCCACCAACATGGTGGTGTCTGCACTATACCCACCAACATGGTGGTGGTGTCTGCACTATACCCACCAACATGGTGGTGTCTGCACTATACCCACCAACATGGTGGTGGTGTCTGCACTATACCCACCAACATGGTGGTGTCTGCACTATACCCACCAACATGGTGGTGTCTGCACTATACCCACCAACATGGTGGTGTCTGCACTATACCCACCAACATGGTGGTGGTGTCTGCACTATACCCACCAACATGGTGGTGGTGTCTGCACTATACCCACCAACATGGTGGTGTCTGCACTATACCCACCAACATGGTGGTGTCTGCACTATACCCACCAACATGGTGGTGGTGTCTGCACTATACCCACCAACATGGTGGTGTCTGCACTATACCCACCAACATGGTGGTGTCTGCACTATACCCACTAACATGGTGGTGGTGTCTGCACTATACCCACCAACATGGTGGTGTCTACACTATACCCACCAACATGGTTGTGTCTGCACTATACCCACCAACATGGTGGTGGTGTCTGCACTATACCCACCAACATGGTGGTGTCTGCACTATACCCACCAACATGGTGGTGTCTGCACTATACCCACCAACATGGTGGTGTCTGCACTATACCCACCAACATTGTGGTGGTGTCTGCACTATACCCACCAACATGGTGGTGGTGTCTACACTATACCCACCAACATGGTGGTGTCTGCACTATACCCACCAACATGGTGGTGGTGTCTGCACTATACCCACCAACATGGTGGTGTCTGCACTATACCCACCAACATGGTGGTGTCTGCACTATACCCACCAACATGGTGGTGGTGTCTGCACTATACCCACCAACATGGTGGTGTCTGCACTATACCAACCAACATGGTGGTGTCTGCACTATACCCACCAACATGGTGGTGTCTGCACTATACCCACCAACATGGTGGTGGTGTCTGCACTATACCCACCAACATGGTGGTGTCTGCACTATACCCACCAACATGGTGGTGTCTGCACTATACCCACCAACATGGTGGTGTCTGCAATATACCCACCAACATGGTGGTGTCTGCACTATACCCACCAACATGGTGGTGGTGTCTGCACTATACCCACCAACATGGTGGTGTCTGCACTATACCCACCAACATGGTGATGGTGTCTGTACTATACCCACCAACATGGTGGTGTCTGCACTATACCCACCAACATGGTTGTGTCTGCACTATACCCACCAACATGGTGGTGGTGTCTGCACTATACCCACCAACATGGTGTCTGCACTATACCCACCAACATGGTGGTGGTGTCTGCACTATACCCACCAACATGGTGGTGTCTGCACTATACCCACCAACATGGTGGTGGTGTCTGCACTATACCCACCAACATGGTGGTGGTGTCTGCACTATACCCACCAACATAGTGGTGTCTGCACTATACCCACCAACATGGTGGTGGTGTCTGCACTATACCCACCAACATGGTGGTGGTGTCTGCACTATACCCACCAACATTGTGGTGGTGTCTACACTATACCCACCAACATGGTGGTGTCTGCACTATACCCACCAACATGGTGGTGGTGTCTGCACTATACCCACCAACATGGTGGTGTCTGCACTATACCCACCAACATGGTGGTGTCTGCACTATACCCACCAACATGGTGGTGTCTGCACTATACCCACCAACATGGTGGTGGTGTCTGCACTATACCCACCAACATGGTGGTGTCTGCACTATACCCACCAACATGGTGGTGTCTGCACTATACCCACCAACATGGTGGTGTCTGCACTATACCCACCAACATGGTGGTGTCTGCACTATACCCACCAACATGGTGGTGTCTGCACTATACCCACCAACATGGTGGTGTCTGCACTATACCCACCAACATGGTGGTGTCTGCACTATACCCACCAACATGGTGGTGGTGTCTTTACTATACCCACCAACATGGTGGTGTCTGCACTATACCCACCAACATGGTGGTGTCTGCACTATACCCACCAACATGGTGGTGTCTGCACTATACCCACCAACATGGTGGTGTCTGCACTATACCCACCAACATGGTGGTGTCTACACTATACCCACCAACATGGTGGTGTCATACCCACCAACATGGTGGTGTCTGCACTATACCCACCAACATGGTAGTGTCTACACTATACCCACCAACATGGTGGTGTCTGCACTATACCCACCAACATGGTGGTGTCTGCACTATACCCACCAACATGGTGGTGTCTACACTATACCCACCAACATGGT